CTAGGTAACTAGTAGCACTGATGATGTTACTTAGTTTGGGTAATGAACTGTCTGCAAGAAAAAAATGAAGCTCAGAGAGCACCAAGGACCCCTCATTTCAACCCTGAGCTACAAATATTGTCCTTTATTGATCCTATAAAGGTGGATCTCTCTTCATCTTTGGAGTGGGAGAACTATGTAGTCCTATGACTTTATGGGATATTTTGCCACGAATCAAAGGATGACAGCCCACGATGACTTAAGGTTTCATTAATAGTTAGAAATGTCACTCATCTATTTGAAAGACAATTTTTGATTGAAAAGCAGGATGAAGATACCCAAAAACACTTGAACTGAGCTAAAACATTGTTTTTCTTGTCCGTAGTCTCCAAGTGTTATCTAGTCCTATTTTGATCTTGCATTCAGAAGATGATAAGATGATACCTATACAACATGGAAGAAAGGTAACTAAACAGTAACTGCAGTCAATTACTCTTTTAAAAGGGTTCTATGGACATATAAAGGGATAATATACAAAAACGCAGAGGTCACTGCATATATTATTTGTTTTTCTGCTAATTGTGAATTGTACTTTTGCAGCATGCTTCATCAATATAGTTTTATGTTTCCATAGCAGTCTTGGGGAAAAAAATCCAAATGACATTAGCAAAATATAGCTTTGGTCATTTGTGGAATGTTCTAATACCAGGGACCGGTTCCATGGAGAAAGGTTTTTCTGTGGACCAGAGGGGCCATGGTTTTCTGTGGTGCCTGCATCCCGTGGATGGGGCTTTGCTTGTTTGTGTGGCCTGGTTCCAAGCATGCCATGGATCGGTGCTGGTCCACGAAACGGGGGTAGGGACCCCTGTTCTAGTATTAGAAAGAAGAGGAACAGATTCTCTTTCCATTTAGTTCTCAGGATGATAATTCTTCATCAGTCATTATTATTATTATTATTATTTATTTATTTATTTATTAAATTTATATCCCACCCTTCTCCCCGAAGGGACTCAGGGCGGTGAACAGCTGAGAATTAAAATAACATACAATATAAAAGTTAAAATAATTAAAAATAAATTAAAGTTATAATGGCACTGAAAAAAGTGACTTACAACTGGTCCTCATGCTTAAACTGTCATAGCATCCTTGTGGCCATGTGATCCAAATTCATCCCCTTGGCCATTGGCATGTGCTTACAATGGTTGCAGCATCCTGGGGTCATGTGATCTCTATTTGTGACCGTCCCAGCTGGCTTTCAACAAGCAAACCTAATGGGGGAAGCCAGATTCACTTAATGACCATGATTCAGTTAACAGCTGCAAGTGACTCACTTAACACCCATGGCAAAAAAAGGTAATAAAATCAGCCACAATGAACTTACGAACCGTCTTGTTAACACTGGAAATTCTGGTCCCAGTTGTCCTTTGAAGACTATTTGTACATAGAGCCTACATTTCTGAATGATATGGGCAAGTTGTTATCTCTCAAAGCTACCTTACTACCCGTATTTTTCGGAGTATAAGATGCTCCAGCCTATAAGATGCACCCACCTTTTTTGGGGAGGATAACAAGAAAAAAAAATCTGCCTCTGCCTCTGCGTCCAAGCAATTTGCCTCCTTGCAGCAAACAGCCTGTTTCAGTTTCAGTTTCATTTTCAGCACAGCCTGATTAGCACAAGAAAAAAAAAAATCTGCCTCTGCCTCCCAGCAATTTGTCTCCTTGTAGCAAACTGTTTCAGCTTCAGCTTCAGCACAGCCTGATTAGCACAAGCAGCTGATTGTAAGTTGGAACGGCTTCCTGAAGACCAGCTGTTTCAGGCTGCAAGGGATTGCCATAGCCTATTGCCGCCTCTGCGTGCCCCATTTTCCGGGGGGGAGGGGTTAGGTGTATAAGACTCACCCAAATTTTCACCCTCTTTGTGGGGGGGAGAAAGAGTGCGTCTTATACTCCGAAAAATACAGTAAATAGGGTTAGGTCACAATTTCCGGTAGCAGGACCTCCATCCCCCTGCAGAAAGTCAACATTGAAGAGCCCCATCAAGGAGAGCTAAGATTTTGTGAGATTCCTGCCATTTATGATTTAAAATAAATACTTTTGCTAGCCCACGGGCTAGAACTAAGGGTCTTGTGTTCCATGACCAGTTTTGCTCACGAAGCTTTTTGCAAGGATAAAATTTGAAAGAAGGAGGAACAATCTTCTGTGAACTCTTCTCCCAGTTCATGGAACAAAAGTGGATGGCATAGTTTTAAATGTGACCATTTATTTATTTATTTATTTATTTATTTATTTATTTATTTATTTATTTATTTATTTATTTATTTATTTTTCATTTAATTTATATACTGCCCTTCTCCCAAAGAGACTCAGGGTGGTGTACAGCCAGCATAAAACCCACAAATACAAAATTTAAAAAACAGTCTAAAAATATTAAATAGTTTGGCCCGTAGTTAAAATAAACAACCCAATTAAAATAATTTAAGAAGAATAAAATTTTAAAAATTAGGCCAGCCCTGCTTGTTGAAATAAGAGTGTCTTGAGGGCCTGGCGGAAGATGCACAAGTCGGGAATCCTTCGCATCTCGGGGGGCAATTCGTTCCAGAGGGCAGGAGCCCTCACAGAGAAGGCTCTCCCCCTGGGGGTCGCCAGCCAACATTGCTTGGCTGACGGCACCCGGAGGAACCCCTCTCTGTGGGAGCGAGTTGGCCGGTGGGAGGCTATTGGTACCAGCAGGCGGTCTTGTATATACCCAGATCCTAAGCCATGGAGCGCTCTAAAGGTGGTAATCAATACCTTGAATCGCACCCGAAGGACAACCGGAAGCCAGTGCAGCTCGCGCAGGAGAGGTGTTACATGGGAGCGCCATGATGCTCCCATAACCACCCGCGCGGCCGCATTCTGGATGAGTTGGAGCCTCCGGGTGCTTTTCAGGGGAAGCCCCATGTAGAGAGCATTAGAATAGTCCAGGCGGGAAGTGACGAGGGCATGAGTGACCATGCATTTTCTTTGTTGGTAGCAGCTGTAATTTCAGGACTCACTTTTGTTCTCTGAATGATGCAGTAGTAGTTGTCATTGATGGGGTGAGAGGGTAGAGTTGTTATCCTGGGGGCTTATCCTTAGAGCCTACTAAACCACCGTAATTACTAGCTCACAGCAACTTGGCTAAGGGCAAGAAAAGCTGGGAGTTTAATAACCAGTGGAGCCCAATCATCATACAGGTAGTCTTTGATTTACAACTATTCATTTAGTGACCGTTCAAAGTTAGAATGGCACTGAAAAAAGTGATTTGTGACTGTTTTTCACACTTACGATTGTTGCTGCATCCCCACAATCAAGTGATCAAAATTTGGACACTCGGCAATTGGCATCCCTTTAGAACAGTTGCAGTGTCCCAGGGTCACATGATCACCTTTTTCGACCTTCTGACACGCAAAGTCAATGGGGAAGTAAGATTCACTTAACAACTGTGTTTGTCAAGCCTGAAATTGATTGGAGTGATTGGAACGCTGACAGCAGTACTTAACAGTCCACTTGGAGATTCACACTCACTCTTCTTTTTTTTCTACACGCACAGCTTTTTGAGATCACATACGGAGCCTCTGAGAAGAAAGACAATGTCAAGTTTCTTTCCTTCCCCTCTTCCATGGGTTTAGGGCACGACCACATATCCTCTCATCCTGAGCTCGCTTCCATTCTCAAGTAAGCACACAGAGCCAAGTTTATGCTACCGTTAAGACTTCTGTGAAAATTGTTTCCTCTTTTAATACTTCACTGGCTTGAGATCGGGAAGGACACAGAATACAGTCCAACCCAACACGCTACAAGTTTGATGGTATTTATATTAAGCCATGATTCGCTTACCATGGTTTACTGAATAAGCCCAAAGGGCAGAATTCATGGAATATATTAAGTGAAAACCCAAGCAACCACATTTATGGTGTCATGTTATATGTTATATAAATTTCAGATTTATGTTATATAAAGTAGGCCATAGTACAGAAAATCCATTCTTACTGGCAAAATGTAGATTTCTTCTTACTTGCTTAAGAGTAGCTTAATCAAGTAGGTGAGCTAGGGCTCCTGAGATTTCAAGAGAGGGCTCACTCCGGCAGTAGTGGCTGAAAATCTATCATGCAATACTTCTGTTCCATGCATGCTCAAATTGGCCAGTTGTTATTGCTACATATTGTACTGTTGTGATGGGGTTGGGGATGATGAACCTCAATGAATGGGAAAGTCCAGATGACCACCACTGAGTAGTCAGTAGGCTATTTATTTTTCTAGCCCTCGTTTAAAAAGCAATAGCGCCTATATACTGCCCCACAATGCTTTACAGCACTCTCTACAATGTAGAAGCATTATTTGCATATTGCCCCCAACAATCTGGGTCCTCATTTTACTGACCTCAGAAGTCAACCTTGAGTTCTCCATCAGGATCAAATTCCAGGCTGTGGGCAGAGTTTGCGTGCAATGCTATACTTTAACCACTGCCTCCCCTGGGCTTAAAATATTACATTCAGCTATATCAGGGGTATCAAACTCGCTGGCCGGATGCGTCATGCACTGGCCACGCCCACCCCTGGTTTAGCAAAAGGGGGAAAAAGTCACAATACGTCACATGACGTGACGACGTGGGTTTGACACCCCTGAGATATATTGTTGTTGTTTTGATGGTTTCTAATTGCTTAATATTTCATTCTTAACTTTTAGCTGCCTCGAGTTCCCTATGTGCAGAAAGGCAGGATATTATGTTGAAGGATATGTCCTGCCACACTTTGTGGATAGTTTCATACTTTTTCTGCATAAAATAGCCTACACAATGCTGGCCAAGTGAATCAGATAATTTGAGCAGGAGGTTGGTTTTATATGGCATCAAATCCAAGGAACATAAATGCTTTCTGTGTATTCCGTAACAGAGACTTCCTCAAGAGCATTACGCAGGATCAGCAATCAAGTGGACAATGACATAACAGCAGCCTCAAGGAGACATCGGTTCTTGCCATGGATATTAAAACAACGAACAGTTGGAAGATAAAAAAGTGGATTTGACTTTATTTTATCATGTGAATTTGCAGGTGTACATTACAGAACAACATTACTGGGCAAAGAATACAGGAATTTTTGAGCGTACCAAAGGTTTCTTCTTTTTCTATAAATGCACCTCATCTTGGTTACTATAAGCTTTATTTTAGCAGAACATCCTTTTTGTCTCAGCATGTCTTCTTACTCACAGCTGAATCAATTTGATTTATAGTGCACTACATAGGGCAACTTCCTCAAAGACTCAGTGCTGTAATTAATACCCTGCTGAAAATACATGGTGTTCTTCAGAATACTTCAAAAAATTATCTTTATTTGAATTAAGTAGGAGCACATGCTCACCCCTTGAAGGAAGAACAGGTACTCTAGATTTTATATGAAACTATACGAATTCTGTGTCGACGCCTTCCTCTCTTAAAATGTATTCTTTCTGCTATTAGTTCACTTTATGAATATACATCGTGGACAAGCCCTTTCATTTTCATTAAAAGACAACAATTGAGTAAACAGATTATTTGGTTTGCTAATGGTATTTTTTAATAACACTCACTATAAATTAGTAAAAAAAATGCGCCCTTTGAACTGTTTGGGTGGCGTACCTCAAGCTGGTACTCTCTAGTTGAGCTGGGACTGGTACCTAGCATGGCCAGTGAGAATATCAGCTAGCATGGGAGATAAATGGTTTGGCACACTTAAGATCATCAGGTGAAATAGAATGTATTAGAGCAAAATTTTTGGGAACAATTCCCAGAGTTCTCAAAGAAGGGAAAGGGAGAGAACAGATAAATGTAGATACCCCAACTGCTCTCGGTGCTTGTAAGTAAAAGAGAAAAGAAAAGGCCACTTTATTACCGGTACTTGCTAAACAAATCTACGCGTGCTTTTTCCAATGTAGGGTACTGTGCGTCATCCATACGGAGTTAAACCTTGCAGGACTTCTCAGATTCACACACACAATTTTTCAGCTGAATCATTGGCCAGCATCTCATCAGCAACATCGCGAGGTACATTGGGTGGCGGGATCTTGAGGTCAGAAGGTTCTACATTCCAGATATCACGGGCATATTCTTTGATGGTCCTGTCACTGGAAAACTTCCCAGAGGCTGCAATGTTCCTGATGACCATTTTGGTCCATTCTTTGGAGTTCTGTAACAAAGAGCTTATGTGAACCCAGCTCTTGCATGACAATCAAATTCAGGATTACTATTGAACATGGTACAGTCCTGTATGATACACTATAATTCACCTCAAATTCCTAACAAGCAATACATGTTACATCAGGAGTAGGCAAATAACAGCCTGTATGTGGGTAACGCCATCCCATTTTTGCAGTCCTTCAAGAGGGGGCCGCGGTGGCTCATGTGGTAAGACAGTGAGCCTGTGCTCCGCTGAGGTCAGCAGCTCTGCGACTCAATTCCCTTGAGCGAATAAACCTTTGGGACAACCATGACCTGGATGACTGAGAATCTCTACAGACTTTTAACTATACAATGTGGGATGGACACCCTTTGAATCGTGTGGGAGTAGGAATGGATTTCCAGGGGAAAAAATTTGCAGACTACAGGAAGCAGGAGCACCACTAAGGTGACCCTAAGGACACAGATAAACAAGTGCTTCAATGACCCTCTAAAGAATGCAAATGACCAGCTATCTGCAAGGGGTATAAATCCTTCCATTCCTCACTATCCAGTCAGAGCTGAAGAAGCTTCTTGGATAAGAAGCGAAACGTCTTCAAAAGAAAAAAAAAACAAAGTCCAATTGCCTCCTGAAAAAAGCACCTTTGGATCAAAGGTGCTTTTTTCCTGGATGACTGAGAATCTCTACAGATTCCTATCTAGTGAAGTACCCAAACAATTGATTTATTTTATGCACAGTTGCTTTTATCACACCAGTAACGCTTTCATTTTCTTGAATATGCTATGCTACTGTCCATAAAATTAAACATCCTCTGATAATCTTAATGACCTAGCTATAATTTAATGCTATCTTATTTTAAGTAAAATAGCATTAGCATTTTAGGCTTATACACTGCCCCATAGCGCTTCACAGTACTCTGTGGGCTGTAAAAGCTGCTTAATTATTTTAGTTATTTGTTCGCTTATAGAATCCGGGTCACTAATTACCATATAGAGTAATAGAATCTGAGTTATAGAAAGACTTAAAAGCACACTAATTCAGTCACTGTAGTGAATAAAATTTGTCACCTCCAGCCAATTTAATGGCAACAAAGTGAATTATTTTCAAGTCACGAATACGAAGCAGATGCATTGCATAAAGCATTCAAAAAAATTAAGTCTGAATAGTTTGGCATGATACACAAATCACTTTTTCTCTAGTTTTTGTTAATCCATCAAATTCAGTTAGCAGTTAGTCCAGTATGTCATGCAAACTCAGAAAATTTGGTCCAGTAAACATGGTTAATTTAACCGGGTATGTGTGTTGTACAAATTCATTGTAGATCAGATAGTTAATTTATGTACACAGGACAGAACACTGATGAATTAGCACTTTGATTATTAGTTTGGATACTTAACAAATAAACATTGTAAACGTTCTCCACACACCCATCTTACCATATAGAGTTTACTGACACTGTCTTGGCACTTGACGTAAGCTTCATAGTCTGCAAACACTTTAAACCTATACAAAAGAAAGAAACCAAAAAGCGTGAAATGCTTTGAAGGCAATCTGAGTTTTGGATTGCTAGACCTAGATCACTGGTTAGTTTTGAAACTCATTATTCTGGAACACTATCTCTTTATGTAAAAGGTAAAGAGCCTTGGTGGCGCAGCAGACTAAAGTGCTGTTAAATAGCACCAGCTGCCTGCAATTACTGCAAGTTCAAATCTCACCAGGCTCAAGGTTGACTCAGCCTTCCAGCCTTTTGAGGTAGGTAAAATGAGGACCCGGATTGTGGGGGCAATAAGCTGACTTTGTATAAAAACGAACACCACTTAGTGGGGGCCGAAAGCCCTACTAAGCAGGTATATACAAAAGTATGAAGGCTATTGCTTAACGCATTGTAAGCCGCCCTGAGTCTCCGGAGAAGGGCGGCATATAAATCAAACCAATAAATAAATAAATAAATAATAAATAAATAAATAAATGTTCCCCTTGCACATTTGTGCTAGTTGTTCCCGACTCTAGGGGGCAGTGCTCATCTCCGTTTCAAAGCCGAAGAGCCAGCGCTGTCCGAAGATGTCTCTGTGGTCATGTGGCCGGCATGACTAAATGCCAAAGGTACACGGAACGCTGTTAGTTTTGATCTCTTTGGAACACTACAAATTAACCTTTGTTCCGAGGATTAGCTTTTGGGAAACTGCCAGACTATGTTAGATCAGAATGGTTCAGAATAGAAACAAATACTGTATTTCAGAAGTGTCCAGAACAATAAATTTTAACGTATCTTGTAAGAAGCATCCATGAAAGCAAGAGAGAATGATGGGGAACAACCACACCAGTCTGTTTCTGATAATTGGGTACTCTATGATAACAAACCATCCCAATATTATCTAATTTGTGAGCAAAGCAAAAGTATGTCCCCAAAATTTAGAATTAGTCCACTGGCCCATAAGAACATTTCATCTTAATGTAGTCCAAAACCTTCTCCAAGAATAGAGGATACTGCAAAAATCCTTTGACAAGTCACCACTTGGGTGGGGAGTAACACATTTTCTTTAACAATTGGTGATCCCAAACATTAAAACTGTGATTGTATGCATATACCACTACTCTGCAACTCCACCCTGAATTTCATTGGCATGGCAAAATGATTTAAGGAGGAACATCATACTGGATTTAAGTTTCTTGGTGCTTTTTAATCATAGGGACCAAAGAAAACTGACCTTATTTGGACTCAAATGTCTCTCTGACAAATGATAAGGACACAAATGGCCATTTAAAAAACAAATCTGTAAGGCATTTTTACCCACCGGTCATGGTAGAACAACATGTTCACCAAATCTTTGAACAGGTCAGGTTGCTGTGGTGAAAAGAAACCGTTCTTGATCTGATCCATAGCTTGCTTCAATTCAGGAAGCTTGTCATAATATTCCTGAGCATGGTACCTGGTGGAAGAAGGTGGAGCCATTACTATTAGATGAGCAACAGGTGCCACAGAATATTCATCTTGAGAGCAGACCAGGAAAGGTGCACACACAGAGTGGAGGTGAGATGCAGAATGGCATCGTGGGAAAGAATCAGGGCCTGTTTTGGGTGGGGTGGAGGCACTGAATCCAAAAGATATTTTATTTATTTACATTATTGATTGATCAAATTTGTACAGCTGCCCATCTCACCAGAAAGCAACATTGATGGCATGCAACATTTAATTAAAAACAATACACATATAAAACATTCATTTCTAAAAATATATTAAAAGCACAAGAATAAGAGAAGATAATGTTAACGGCAGTAAGGGAGCCATCACAAGCTCTCACAGGTTCCCTGCCATCCCCAAGTAGATGACAACTACTTGAGGGATTAATGGGATGTCAACAGGGATGGAGCTAACTTCGCTTCCAGGGAGAGAAGATTCCAAAAGTTGGGTGCTAGGACAGAAAAGGCCCAGCTCTTGAGACCCCACCAAGTATCGTTCCCTAACAGATGGGATACACAGCATGAGGGTTTATTATCTGAAATGCTCAAATGTTTTTCACTCAAAGCAATTAATCCATGAAAATATAACTCAATAACTATTTCAGCATTTTGACTGTTTCCACCCATTCCCTCTTTTTAATGTGACATTAACACCTGGACAAAAAAAAAAAAAAAAAAAAAGACTGTAGGAAGTGGGAAGTTCAAGATAACATTCTATCTCCAGGCCTAGGTGTCTTATTAAGGCATGAATAGAACCCCCATACATGTTTCATCCCAATAATATAAATTCATAGCACTCATAGTGCTAAATCTTATGCCATTAAAATGTGAGGTCACACAAACACCATTAGTCTACTCTGTGTCTTCCTCCCCCATTCAAGTTTTGAAAGTCCATTTGTCAGCGTTTCGACGCTGGCATAGAGAGCAGAGGAGAGAGAGAGATAAGCTCTGAACTTTTGCCTGCTAAATCCCTTTGAAGTCGGGTTGTCGTAGAAATGAAGGGGGGAGACATTCCTGGGAAATGACGAGACAAGAAGTCTGAAGAATGACTTGGAAGATAGTCAATGAGAAGCAGAGATTTGGGGATCGGAAAGGGAGGGATTGGGGGGCAAAAGGTCAGTCTTGTTCGCATCGAGTCATGATCTGGTGGCTGTGCTCAATTAAAGAAAAGATTTCCTTAAAGATTGGCAGTTTGGAAATTCATTTATTTTGAGATAGCATCGAAGTCTGATACCATTTCAATCCAGACAATTGAGAATTTTTTCCTACAACCACTTGTGCCCCAGTTGAGCTGCTAACCAGTCTTACCCTTTCTGGTCCAACTGTTCCACATCTGGCACTCTCATGCCAAATATGAAAAGATTCTCTTCTCCAGCTTCTTCTGCCATTTCTACATTGGCACCATCCATGGTCCCGATGGTCAGAGCCCCATTGAGCATGAATTTCATGTTTCCAGTGCCCGAGGCTTCAGTGCCGGCTGTTGAAATCTGCTCTGATAAATCTGTAGCAGGGATCACTGCCAAGAAAAATATTATCTTAGTATCTGGGCATTCCTTTTTCCCTCATTTGCATTTTAATCTTCTTATTTTTTAAAGCGTGGAGATAAGCAAGAAACTCACACTCTCCTAAATAGTCCCCAGCAAAATAAATCATGTACTGACAGAACAGAATTTGCAACAAAACTGCAGAATACTTGAGATAACAGCCAGCAATTATTTATTCATTTATTTAAAATGATTTATATTCAGATTTATACATAATCTGAACCCAGTGTAACAGATGAATCACTTTCTAAGCTGCAGAGCAAAGACTTAAATTTTATGGGGATGGAGAAGTTCTACATAGGAAACTCGAGAAGCTGAGGTTCAGATGTAACCCATGAGTAAACTACAGCTAATGATTAGAGAATGAGTCTAGCCAACTGGTTGACCATGTAGCAAGGCTGACTCCATGTTACTGATTTGTGCGCTTTTTGAACTAAGTCCACCAAAAAGACAAAATCTCTTGTGGCGGGTGCCAGGCTCCTTCGCGTTATAGCTGGTAAGAATGACAATAATAAAACCTGCCAATTAGTTTGGAAAAGGTCTAAGAAAGCAGAGATGTTTCTGTTCATAGGAGGTTATTATTCAGCATCTTGAAAAATGTTACATTTCAATGTCAGTTTTAACACCTAGGTAGGCTTGTATATTTGTTTCACCCTTAAAATCTCAGATATGAGGCCTAATTGAGGTGCACAAAAATGAGACCTTTTAATCCCCTTTTTATGAAATAGTAAAAAAGAAGACAAATTGCTATTATGAATGATTATGTAATACAAGTAAAAGAGATGCACAAAGCTTATCAATCTGAGATACAACTCTGCAGAAAATACCAGAGTATTTTGCTCTCCTTCAACTAACTGAAGCAGTCTAGAAGATTCTGGAAGCAAATCCTCTAAATCGCAAATGATTTAAGGCAGGGATGTCAAACTCGCAGGCCACGGACAGGATGTGTCACACGCTGGCCATGCCAATGCCCAGTTTAGCGAAGGAAAAAAATGGTGTGATACGTCACATGACGACATGAGTTTGACATCCCTGATTTAAGGTGTTCTGGGAATGATCTGATCCTGAAAGGAGACTCCTGTGTCTGGAAAGCCATATCTGGAAACACTTTGAATTACTTCCAGGTGGGACTATATTTCCAAAAACCTGCTCCCATGAATGGTGTGGTCTGGAGGAGGTCAGTATAGGGAGTTAGGAAATATTTATTATTGTTGTTGTTATTGTTGTTAACATTAAGTACAATATATGTATAGGATGTATAAAATCCCAGGAGTCATTTAAATTCAAAATCTATGCATTCAGGATCCTTCCTAATCCATCGTTGGATGAATACTACAGCAGCACCCAACTTAATTCTTTATTCAAGGATTTTAAGGAGTCCAACTGAACATTCCATTCTATTCTCTATGCTCACCACTCAGCACTCTGAGCTCATTCGATATACTGTCTCCCCACCCCTCAAGTCTGAAAAATCTTGGTACTTTCCAGTGTGCTGATTACTTTTCGGTGTAGATCAGGGGTCGGCAACCTTAAACACTCAAAGAGCCATTTGGACCTGTTTCCCACAGAAAAGAAAACACCGGGAGCCACAAAACCCTTCCTGTGCCTGACTATTTCCTGAGCGGCCACAGTACTAGCATATGTAATTGAATTAAACATTCTGTTTTCTTCTGAAACTTTTCTTTTCTTGGACTTATCCATGGTTGGCTTACTGGGGGTCAAAAAGCTCAATAAATCATGTGCCGGCAGGTATCACACATTGCCGGTTGTAACGCATATTTTGAGCGACAAGGAGCTGCAACAGAGGGATGAAACAGCCACATGCGGCTCCAGAGCTGTGGGCTGCTGACCCCTGGTGTAGATGGTATTGTGCTGTGAAGCACTACAGACTCATTTCCAAAGAGATATTCTGGAGTTGACAGGGGCATAAAAGGAACATCTCTCCATAACTCTTTAAAGCAGCTGCAGCCAGGATTGCATGGCAGCCACGCATTCACAGGAAATGTTGAAGCTGCTTGAAAAAGCTGCAGATGGGTCCTATATTCAATGCTCTGAAGCCTCTTTTGGAATCAAATCTGAAATTCTGGTCAGCTCCATTCATTAGCTTTTTAGGCATAGCATGACTATTGGTCATCAGTCCTGTTCCGCTAGGCCGGGCTATCAATGTAAATGATTTTAAATTGGGTGTTTTAAATTTTTGGGTTTTAATTTGGGCCGAAATTATTTGATAATTTTAATTATTTTTAATTGATGTCTGTATATTTTTGTGTTTTTAATAGGCTGTACACCACCCTGAGTCCTTCGGGAGAAGGGCGGTATAGAAATAAAATTATTATTATTATTATTATTATTATTATTATTATTATTATTATTATCATCATCATCATCATCAAACTGCTCTCTTTCCTACATATCCCAACCTGGTGCCTCAAGATGTATTACCTTTTTCAGCCAATGAGACTCTGTAATTCTCCAAAAATATGACCTTCAGCTTGTTTCCAACCCCAGGATCATTGTTTACTACATGGCCTACAGCAGTGATCAGCTTTATTATCATTTTAGCCATATGATACCCAGGAGCAGCCTGGAAGGAAGAAAGCAATGTGGCAGTTAGAAGTTGAGATTATGATAATCATGTCTACCAATTCTACTTCCAGGCTGAATAAAACCTGCAGAAGCGGCAGAAAACCAACATAATCAAGCAAGCATCTCCTGACTAGCATCTAAGAAATTGTTAGAGCAGCCTTACCCAACTTGCTACACTTTCAAATGAAATGGGACTACAACTCCCAGAATTTCCAAAGAGGCCCAAAAGAGTTTGGAGAGTTGCATAACTCCAATGCATCTAGAAAGCACCATTTGGAAAAAAGTGAGCTAGAATGCATGGGATTTTTCATGGGGGAGGGACGGCAGGGGAAAATGGGATAGTAAAAGCTGCATACATTTAAGGGGTAGTAACTTTTATTGAGAGAGAGAAAAAGAGAGAGAGAGATGATACAGGTAGACAAACATGTAGATAGATAGATAGATAGATAGATAGATAGAGAGAGAGAGAGAGAGAGACAGACAGACAGACAGACATTCTTGCCATCTTCACTGCTCTCTCCATACACACACACACACACAAATTTAGCTTAGTGAGAAAACAAAAAAAGACTCTCTTCATGCTACCTATTTGCGTAATTAAAAATGGAATAGTAATGAGAGTTCAGGATAGAGGCAGAAAATGGCATTTCTAGCAATATTACAATTTGCTTTGCAGAACACCCAAAAGATGAAACTTGAGCCTCAAATTCATCACTCACTTTTCCTCCAATTATCACAGTCCTGGGCACAAATGGCTTTGTTGGATCTCGTTTAATGCCTGCAAAGGAGAAAGACAAGAGATCCTAAGCCTGACTTCTGTCCAGGCATAAAGTAGTCATATTTGCCTCTTCCAGCCCTCATCTCTCATTGCTTCCCTGGAATTGCTTTCTTTGAGGCCCATCATGTCAGCTCAGCTCTTTCTTGAACAACTGCAGCCAATTTGGCTTCCTTTGCAATTTCTTGCCAAGAAATTCCCTGCTTTAAGGGTGCTGATGGTCACCTCTAGAATTCTCAGATAATGTTATGAACATTTTCTTCAAGTGTCATGGCTGCCATTCTGCTAACCTCGCATTGCAAGCTGGTAACCTGACATTAGTAACTGGGGGAGGGTGGAGAGATTGGAATGTAGGGAGGAATCGGGGGATGGGAACCAAGTTGTGCTGGCCCAAGGTGTGAGAACACCAGTCAACCCAAAGCCAGCCATCAGAACACAGAGCTGGAAAGGTGCAAATTGAAGATCCATTACCCAAACAATATGAAGGCACCCAACTGGACATTGACTGATAACAGGGAGATAGCGAGGGGGAAAGGGAAAGTTAATAGTACTGTTTGCATGGAAAAATGGCAGATCCAGCTTTGCTACTTCTGTAACCACTTTGGCTTAGTAAAATATATTCTTGGTGAAAGCAAAGGGTTAGGAGTCCATCTTTATTAGATGACGAAGTAGGATGGTTGTCATCAGGTGATTTTTATAGTGGACTTGGTCTAACCTCAAAACATTTAGCAGAAGGCAAACTGGCCTTAATGGCCCCATGTACTTCTAGCTCCTCTGGCACAATGTCATTTTTTTAACTGAGAAGAATATTTCCAACCAAAGGACACAATTGAAATCACCCAGTTTTTGTTTTCTGTGAAGGTTTGGAAATCTATGAGGGAACAGCCAGTCTAAGACTGACTCTTTTCCATACAGAATGCAACATTCCCATTTATTTTTAATTAAAGAAGGTTACTACCCGATAGTCCTCGGCTTATGACCACAATTGAGGTAAAAAAAATCCATCGTTAAGCAAGGTGATTGTTAAATGAGTCACGCCTGATTTTACAATCTTCATTGCCATGGTTGTTAAGCGAATCAATGCGGCTGTGAAGTAAATCACTTGGTCGTTAACTGAATCCAGCTTCCCTCATTGACTTTGCTTGTCAAAAGTTGGCTGGGAAGATCACACTTGGCAATCATGTGACCCTTGTCAAGCACCTGCATGTTGATCACATGACCATGAGGATGCTGCGTCGGATATGGGGACTGGTTGTAGATAACCTTTTTCAGGGCCACTGTAACTTTGAACAGTCACTAAACGAATGGCTGTGCGTCAAAGACCACCTATTAAATAAAATTAGGGCATGAAATTTGGCATTTGCCAAGGGAAGTTCCAATGTTCCTCACTGGGAACTTGGGAAGTAGCCCTTCTTCTCCCTATTTACAGAGGAATGGTGGAGGCATTTTATCCTATCTTAATGATCTCTGGTATTTTCAGGTGTCAGATCCTGAACACCATGGACACTGTAAAGCAGGGGTCTCCAACCTTGGCAACTTTAACCCTGGAGCTTTGCTGGCTGGGGAATTCTGGGAGTTGAAGTCCTCCAGGCTTAAAGTTGCCAAGGTTGGAGAGCCCTGCTATAAAGGAATCCAGGAGCCTGGATAGCTCAACAGACTAAGCACTGTAATTTAACACCAGCTGTCTGCAATTAAAGTAAGATCGAATCTTGCCAGGCTCAAGGTTGACTTTCTAAGGTAGGTAAATTGAGGACCCAGTTGTGGGGGCAATAAGCTGACTTTGTATAAAAATATACAAAAGTATGAAGGCTATTGCTTAATGCACAGTAAGCCGCCCTGAGTCTCCGAAGAAGGGCGGCATATAAATCAAATTTTTTAAAAAAAATGGAATCCAGGAGAAAGGCAAAACAAAGTACAACAGAAGGAATCACAAACTTGGTATATTACTGTGTGGTCCATGTTCACATTGTCAGCTTCTGCAGTGCTCTATTAATCATGTGCTCAATGAGCAATAATTGTGAACTGTTACACAACTCTACTAAAAATGGGAGACTGTGCCTAGAATGACTAGCAATGAACAGCTTCTACAGTGAGGAGCATTGAGATAAAATGGAATGTAATTCTGAAGTTTTTACCTACATCAGGCAGCTGATGAGAATTACTGGCTTTGAAAAAGGGTTCAAAAAGAAGTAAGGGCATCTAAGCCAACAGGCAGACAGGACCTGGAATTAAGCCAGGGAAGCAGTATCTTTCCTTATGACCCTCACAATTTGAATAGTTCTTATTTTATTTCTATAGACTGTGCATCATGATAAATCTTAAAATGAGCCTCCCCAAATCTTCTATTATTCCCATTGATTGGTAGAGTTTTTGTTTCAGATTATCATCATCCTCTTTTAACAAACCCATAACCCCTTGTGGGGTGGAGTCTGGGCAACTGAATGGAGCTGAGTGTTTACTGGCCGGATGCTCTTCCTGTCACCAGTGCAGTGTTTTGTTCAGCAGATACATTCTCAGTGTGCCCAGAGAGAGAAATATCTGCCTCTACCTAGGATCGAACTCATAGCCTCCTGATTGTGAGGCGAGAGCTCCACCTCTAGGCCACCGTGCCACTCTTCTGTTTCAGATTATAATTCTTTAAAAATTACTAGGCATTTTTGTATATCCTTTGATTCTATTGTAAAGCCCTGCTGTGACATTTATGCAAGCAGAAAAGCTATAACCAGAATGCTCTGCTTGCTGTACCAGGTACAACTTTACTCACGGTTGTACATGGTGATCACATGTAGGCAATTCATGAGCTGCCGCTTGTATTCATGAATTCTCTTGACTTGCACGTCAAACATGGAAGCTGGGTTGATCTTCACTTTATATTCCTGTTCCAGGTACTGGGCAAATTTGACTTTGTTTTCCTGGGAAGAGAAAGGGAGGTATGACCATTCTTCTGGTTTTATAACCAAGTGAAAAGAAGACAGAACCAGCCAAAAAATTTTTTTGCTCTAGGATGTGTTCCTTTCAACTCTATTTGCAAAGATCGAGTAGGTTGGCAATGGAACATGTTCTTCTACTGTCCCTGAAGAACACAGGGCTAATCTACACAGCTTTCTTGCACTGGCAACAAAAATTGACTTACCGTATTTTTTGGAGCATAAGACGCACTGGAATATAAGATGCACCTACCTTTTTTGGTGAGGAAAAGAAGATAAAGAAATCTCTCTCTGCTTCTGAGCAATTGCCTTGTTACAGCAAACAGCCTGCTTTACTCTCATTTTCGTTTTCAGCATAGCTTGATTAGCACAAGGAAAAGAAATCTGCTCCAGCAATTTACCTCTTTGTAGCAAGCAGCAGAGGCCCCTGCAAAACAGCTGAGAGCAAATCAGCTGAGAGTCGGGAGGCCGATCCAATCAACTTGTGCTAATTAGGTTGTGCTGAAGCTGAAAGGAGCTGATTTTTCTTGCTGTTTGCTTGCAAGGAGGTAACGGCTGCAAGGCAGAGGCCAAAGGGTGGGGGCTAGTGGGTGGGCAGGGCTACATTCAGTGTATAAGACGCACCTAAATTTTCACACCCTTTTAGGGGGAAAAAAGGTGCGTTTTATACTCCGAAAAATACGGTATTTGCTTTTAGCTAAGGACATGTCTTTGAAACACTACTCCCATTTTGTAACCAGCCCACCATTGAGGGGAAATGAAGTAGTCCAAGGCACTACAGCTTGAGCATAATGTTTTCTCCAGGAAAATGGAGGAAAACCTCCTATAAGGACACTCTAGGTTGCATGCAAGGAAACATTTTTGGAGTTTGGTGCTCTCCAGTTGGCTTTCAATTGGTCCACTGTGCAGGCTGCTCCCTCCCATCTAGTAACTGGGCTGTGAGCCCCATAGCCACTTGTACTTCACCTATGGAGAATGCAGAAACTTACCCAACAATTATTTTCATGTTTGTATATATGCATGTTGTTGTAGCCTGCCCACACCAACATACTTTGGTAGAAAGCAGTGGTGAAATGTAAAATTCGTTATTACTGGTTCTGTGGGCGTGGCTTGGTGGGGGGTAATGTTTTTTTTTTACTTTTAAAAGCATTTTTTCTACAACTTCTTCGGCTGAAGAGGTTGTAAAAAAATGCTTTTAAAAGGCTCTGACCATCCCAGCTGAGCCGTGCGATCATCAGAGGCTTTTTTTTTTTTACTTTTAAAAGCATTTTTTCGGCTGAAGAAAAAATGCTTTTAAAAGTAAAAAAAAAAGCCTCTGATGATCGTACAGCTCAGCTGGGCATGAGGGGTGGGCAGGGATTTTTGCTACCGGTTCTCTGAACCACCCACCATCATCGCTACCGGATCGGGCAATCTGGTCCGAACTGGGAGCATTTCATCCCTGGAAGAAAGTGTGTTGTACTTTGTGAAAGACCAAATCTGAGTCTTCTCTGAGGTTTGTATAAGCAGAAAGGAAGAAATATGACAGATTTGCTCAACAGTGCCTCTTAAATGGCCCTTATCAGGTCACTCCAAAACTTTTCTGAAATTCTTATTGTACTGCAGTCTTCCAAAACCTGATACTCTCCAGATTTCCTACCAAGCAATGATCAACTTACATCCATCTTCTAATTCTCTCTCTATACAATAATTTCCCAGAGACCCTGGGTTCAAGTATCTACTTAAGCACAGAGCTCCCTCCATCACCTTGAACGAATTACCTGTTTTAGCTTAACCTGGTGCTGGCATGATAAAAATGATGCTCTATGTTTGTCACTTGAATTTTCTTGAATTTGCCATATATAAACAAAATGCAATGAAAGATGATCTGTAAAGCACTTTGAAGATAGAAAATTCTTTGAAAAGGGGAAATTCCCACCCCCGTTTCGTTCCCCTTACCTGCTTGACTTTGGCCACCTCTCTGATGAAAACATCATCATTCACAAACCGATGCAGCTTTCTTAGCTGACTCAAATCTTTCACGTATTCTTCCCCTATTTTCTGTACAAAGGAGAAAGAGATTTCACATATGCATCATCTCAAAAGACAGAAATCTTGAAGAATCCAGAGTCACCCCCTTGTCATCGCCCACGGATACTCATTGCGGCACCTACTGCATCTAAGCATATTGATCTCTCAAAAAATACTTTAGGCTCAATATATGTGGCTCAGGGTTGAACTGTGAAGTCCTTCATTCTCTCCGAGGTTACTTTTTTACTTGCCCAAGGAGCTGCTGAACCAATTCTACAGAGGAATTAATGAGTCTGTCATCTGTAGCCAGTGGTGGGATTCAGCCAGTTCGCACCTATTCGGGAGAACCGGTTGTTAACTTTCTAAGCAGTTTGGAGAACCGGTTGTTGGAAGAAATCTTTTTTCCCCCCCACTTTACAGGGCTAATCCTGTAAGGAAGGCAGGAAGGAAACATTCTGGTGTTGTTTCTAGCCTAATCTTTATTGCCCTGCTTACAGAAACGGCCTCTCTGGTTAACCCTTATTACATTGTAACAGCTAAGGTGAAATGCCCGTCAACGTGAGTGACATTGAGTTGGGCACGCCCACACGGTCACGTGACCACCGAGCCACACCTACCTAGCTGGTCATTAGGACAGAGAACCTGTTGTTAAATTATTTGAATCCCACCTCTGTCTGTACCTCTATAACTGTCTGGTTTGGTTCTGCAACTCAACAAGGCAGACACAGACTTCAGAGGATAATTAGAACTGCAGAAAAAACAATTGCTACCAACCTGCCTTCCATTGAGGACCTGTATACTGCACGAGTCAAAAATAGGGCTGTGAAAATATTTACAGACCCCTCACATCCTGGACATAAACTGTTTCAACTCCTACCCTCAAAACAACATTATAGAGCACTGCACACCAGAACAACTAGACACAAGAACAGTTTTTCCCCGAACGCCATCACTCTGCTAAACAAATAATTCCCTCAACACTGTCAAACTAGTTACTAAGTCTGCACTACTATTAATCTTCTCATCGTTCCTGTCACCCATCTCCTTCCACTAATGACTGTATGACTGTAACTTTGTTGCTTGTATCCTTATGATTTATATTAACTGTTTCCTAATATGATTTGATTGCTTATTTGTACCCTATGACTATCATTAAGTGTTGTACTTTATGATTCTTGATGAACGTATCTTTTCTTTTATGTACACTTATAGCATATGCACCAAGACAAAGTTCAGTTGACTTTTGAAAAAGCACCTTTGGGACACCCATGACTTGTATGACTGAGAATCTCCATAGATGCCTACAAAGACTATTTAACCAGAATGATAGTGGATGAGTAGACAGCAGAAGCAGATATCCTACTTATAAAGTGTTTTCAGAGCTTTGAAAGGAGATGGAAATTGCCTGATTATACATCAGGATTTTTTTTTTAAAAAAAAGTATTTAAGGAGCACATACAAATTATTACAATAATTATTTTGCTAAGCAGAGCAACTGAACATTTTTTTTACCTCCGCAATTAATTCTGCAAGTCCTGGGTTGCAAAGCAGGAGCCAGCGACGAGGAGTGATCCCATTTGTTTTATTCTGAAACTTTTCTGGCTCCAACTCTGCAAAGTCCTTGAACCTGAACAAAAAACAAGGAAGTGTGTTCATGGAAAACCCTCAAGATTGACTAGTTAAACAGATGTGACAGAAGACATTGGCCACCCAATTTTTTAAATTTTCAATTAATACTAATTGCATAATTACCCTACACTTTTAAAAAATAAACTTATTTTTTGCATAAGTAGATAGAAAGCCCATAACAAGATTGGTAGCAACAGCATCATGTTTTTGTGTTATATGTAGTACAAAATTATTTCACAAACCATTACTGTATTGACAATTTATTTGCTCACATAAGGTTTACGTTCACATGATCTGCTTAATTAGTCATTTAAAGAACTAGCAGATTTAATGGGACTACTTGCACAGAGTCTTAAGTTTTTAACCTTGAATAGAATACGATTCAGTATATTGTAGGTAGTTTGAAAATGGGTCAATTCAGTAACTATGTAAACTATGTTGAATATCCAGTTCATTACAGAAGAACAAAAGTGGCCCACATCTGAATCTTAATATTTAGCATAAATGCCTACAATTATTCATACGGGTGTTTAATTGTGGTACTCCCTGAAAACTCCGAAGTAAATTGAAATTGAAGGTGTCAAAATACTAGAGATGAGGTAACTTTGGGAAAATATGTCCTGCAGTCTGTCACCAAAGAATGCATATAGCAACAGATAAGAATTTAATTATAGAATACAAAGTTTGGGAGGGCAGAAAATTATCAAAACAACAGACAAAATTATATATTAGCACAGACGCAGTGGCACCCAGAGTTCATCCCTAAAACTCAAAATTGATCCCATAGTAGAACATTCAGAAGTCTAAATCAAATCAAAAACTTTTCTGTTGGCAAAAGTAAAAGTAAATTGTCCTAGGTTGCTTTACATAAACAAAATGCACACCACTACTCACACTTGAGATTTGACGATATCTGAGTGAATCTTTGCAACTCCATTCACAGCGTGAGAGCCAACAATGCAAAGGTGGGCCATGTTAATACGCTTGACCCCTTCCTCTTCAATCAAGGACATCCGCCTGAGACGGTCAACATCCGTGGGAAACAGGGCTCTGATTTTCTGAGTATGTGTGAAGGTGAAAAGCAACATCAGTTAATTCTGTTCAAGTGCATTTCCAACTATCCAATTCAGTCTGGATTTTAGTAAGAAAGGATCTTTGGACTAATCACATTTTATTGATTGATTGATTGATTGATTGATTGATTTGATTTGATTTGATTTGTATGCCGCCCTATCTCCATAGGACTCAGGGCGGCTCACAACAATTAAGAAATACAATCCCAATCCAAATAAAAACATATTAAAAATACATATTAAACATATAAAACACATATAAAAATAATCAAAACCCAATCAGTCCAGGCTGGGCAATTTGAACAGCCATGTTTTTAGTTCGCGGCGGAAAGTGTGAAGGTCAGGGGCCAACCGGAGCCCCAGGCAAATGCCCATTTTAAAGGCAAATGCTATGCAACTGGCATAACTTTTTTCCATTTCAAAATGGCTATCAGAACCGAGATTTATTGACTGAATCAAAAGCTCAATCCAACTTTTCCAGCTTGAAAAGGGACTTGGGAGAGGAGTCAGTTTTCATAAAGCCGTTCCTTTATCTTTTCTTAAATTCATCCAGAAAATTAAGAGCTGTTAGAGAAGGTTTAATGAAACCCTACTTACATCCAAATGCCTCTGATTGATTTCATAGATAATCTGCAAGTGTCTTGGAAGCAGCTTCTCCACCAGCTCGACTGGCCAGCGTTCAAGAGCTTCAGGAAGAACTGTGTGGTTTGTATAAGCAAAGGTCCTTGTAGTGATATCCCAGGCCTTGTGTTTTTGAAGAGAAAGATAATAAAGCAAACTGAGAAAAACAATTTATGTGCTTATTCTTGTGCATTCTCTCCCAACACCTACACCTAAGCCATGTACTTTGTATCTGAGGATATAGTTTTCTTACCAAAATGCAGAAATCTTACATTGCATTTCTTACTGTTGAGAATTGTGCATATTATTTTCTGGAGTGTCAGCCAACCCTCCCAGTTTTTTGTTGTATGCAAATGTGATAAGCATCTCTTCTATCTTCTTGTTTAAATCATATTGATAATGTTGAACATAAACTAAGTCCAGGACAGAACCTTGGGCTATCTCACTATACACCTCCTTGAATGTAGACATAGATCCATATAGTTTGACCAACTAAATCCATCTGGTAACAATCCATTCCACATTATTCCATTTTATCATGAAAGTGGCGATGGTCAACTCTATCAATTGCTTTATTTATTCATTCATTCATTCATTCATTCATTCATTCATTCATTCATTCATTCATTCGATATCTATAGCCACCCATCTCATCCAAGTGACTCTGGGTGATTTATAATTCTAAAACTACAAAACAATCCAAGCTTTTGAAAACAATAAAAACACCCAAACAGTACATCCACGGCATTCCCCATTTCAGGTGAGAGAAATGTTGGAAGCTGGGAGTTAACTAGAACAAGAGGGAGGAGGCTACATTCCAGAGGAACAAGAAACAGCAAGCTTTAGATTATCTGGGAGGAAGACAGTCAAGACAGCTTCTCCCGAGGAGTTCTCGGAGTATAATTTAGTGATACAAATAGTTTGCTTTAGTTTGGCATCTTTCTTGTTTTTTGGAGCCTGACAAAGAGATCATCAACCTGCAAAACGTCTTCAACTGAAGCCATGCTTACTGCTACTTCGTTTCTTGATTGCCATTCAAGGGAAGGGGGGGCAGGACTTAGGAATGTGATATCTCAGATGTCTAGTCATAACATCCACCAGCCGGTGTGTGAACCAAGGTCATGTCAACAGACACCTGTCGAAACTGGGCGGGAACCTACGCCTGGACTGATTGGCTCATGTGACCTGAGAGACCTAGGGGTGGGGGTGGGGAAATCATATTCTTTTAACTATCCCTGTGCGTGGGAATAATTTAGAGCTAGCTTCACCTTTCTAAGTGCCAATATGATATACTTATTAAAAGGTTTCTCGAACCTGAACAAAGAGTCAGAGTCCTGATTTCCTGGAGTTCATTATTTGGAACCATGACAGAGTTATTGTATAATATCATCACCTACTTTGTAGAGGTGAAGGAGGCAAAAAAAAGTAGTATTTCTCCTCCACCATTGTGTTTTCTCGGTGTCCTACAATGGAGTTCCTCAAGTGGTTCAAGCCATTTTGCGATCTGACCTTGGTCAAGATCACATACAGTCCCCAGTAGACACTGTGTTATATAGCCTATACACTTTGGAGGACAAAATCAATCAAATTCATCATGACAATACTTTAGACATATTCAGTCCCTTGTTTGGCTAGACTTCTTTGGATGAGTTTCAATTCTTATACTCTGAGAATGCAAACAAATTGATTGAGTTTGGCAAACTACAAATTGGCTTGCTGCTTGCTCCTCATGGTACATCACATCTAGTAGAAAACGGTTGCTCAGATGTGGCCACAAAGTCATACATTTCTCCATATGAGAGTGTTAATCCCAGCCACATTAAACAATCATGCCTGGAAAATGCACAGGGCAACCATGTGATCCTAAGAAGCGACGCTGTCGCTTTAAGGAGTTGGAGGGATGGTTATGCTCATTCCCTTGCACCCTCGAAGTAGCTTTTGAATCAAATTCAAAATAATTATATAAATATAAATACAAATATATTCTATAAGTGGCAAATCACTTCCAAAAAAATTAGCATCCCTGTTCATGAAATCATTAGGAGTCAAGCTCAACTCAGAAACTTTACCATACCACTATAAAATTTTAACTCAGCCAAAGAGACTGTCCAATGTTTTTTTGGCTTTTCACTAGAATCCAAGTAATAAGAGAGTGGGTGACAAACGTTTAACTACGGTAGCAACTGCAGTTCTAATACATCTAGATGTGCAAAGTAGGGAAATACAATATAGTACTGTATGTGGCAGCAACTGATGCCTTGCCAACAACACCCGGTAGGTGGTGCTAGTGTGAACTTCCACCACAGTGGAACCCTTTCTAGCAGAACTAAATACCTTCTAGGCCAGGAGTGTCAAATTCACGGCTCGTAGGCCAGATGCTTCACACGCTGCCCATGCCCAATTTAGTGAAGGGGGAAAAATTGTGATATGTCACAAGACAACGCAAGTTTGACACCCCTGTTCTAGGCTGAAGGGCACCCGTAGCCTGAAGTGGTTTATAGAGTGCCACACTCCCATCAAATTGGAGGCTGGGCCAAGTCAAAGATCAAATTTAATTTAGTTTACATCTAAATTTAATTAAATCTTATTAATGGACTAATTAGTAGTTAATGGACTAATACCACACTTCCTCCCAGTATGCATCTTCTCCCTTTTTTGTTAATTTTTAAAACAATTCTAGTGCAAATATTTATTTCATCATGTTGCTTTTATGATTGTAAGAAGTCTGGAGATTTTGATAGCAATCTTTGAAGCTATGTTGGAACTGAATGCAGCCTAAAGCGTTATTGCTTTACAATAGCCCTCATCTATTGGAACAGTTATCATGTGATAAGATTATACCCTTGAGACAAATCTGAGGATATTAGTACCCCTAATTAGTACCCCTATTCCCCAAATTTTGAGATCTAAGACAATGACTGTATGATTCCGTTTACACAGTATGCTAGACTAGGTCAAACTGAGGTTTAACATGTTCCATGAACCATGTCATCAAAGCGTTTTATTTGTTTGGGCATTGCACAACAACTTTTTTTTTTTTTAGATTTAGGGTTCAGCATATTTTGTAAACCAACTTGTGTTTGTCTGAAAACTGGAAATAGGAAGCAAAAGAAGACTTGAAGCCATAGCACAGACACTACAGAATTAGGCTGAAGCTGAATTAAATGAAGCCCCCTGGAAAACATAGTGAAGGTTTTGTAAATCCTAGAGACAGAGCTGACAACAGAAAAGTGATCCCAACCTTGGACCAGGGCAGCTTCTCTATATCCAAGAAGACACGCATCAGCTCAGGAATAGCCATGGAAGGATGTGTATCATTCAGCTGGATTGCAACCTATTGAAAAACAAGAAACGAAATATATTTTTAAAAAAAAATCCAGAGGGAAAAATTTAAGCAGGAAAATGGAATCAAATCTATCAACCTGCTGGATAATTGCAAGAAGTAACGAGCTAAAAGTTAAGTCAAGCTAAGGAAAGCAATGCATAAATACATGATTGCATGCCACCATTATTACTATCATATATTTCCCAGAGGAACCTAATAAAAAGGTGTTTGGGCAAAAGTACTGCATAAGTAGTCAAACTATTCTCAATTTGCTTTTGTTTTATTTGTTAGACTCACATCTTCCCTTTCCTCTAGGACATGGATGTCAAACTTGCTGCGTCATGTTGCCGCAACACGACATTTTATGACATTTTCCCCATTTACGGAAGTGGGGTGGGCATGGCCTGTGTGTGACGCATCTGGCCCGTGGGCCGCCAGTTTGACACCCCTGCTCTAGGACTTAAGGTGGCCCACTTAATACTCCCATCTCCAATTTTATCTCCAGAACAAACTTGTGAGATTGAATGGAGTGACAGTGTCTGGTCAACATCACCCAAAGAGCTTCTAACGCTGAGTGAGTCTAGATATGATCATGGGTCTTCCTGGTCCTAGCCTAATACTTCCTGACTTCATCCCACTGGTTTTCTACACCCAAGACAGGGGTGAAATGCTACCCATTTGGGCCGGTTCGCCCGAACCGGTAGTAAAAAATGCTACTAGTTTGCCGAACTGGTAGTAAAAAATGTAAAGAAAAAAAAAGTTCCGACGATAGCGCGTTGCTCAGCTGATCGTCGGAACTTTTTTAAAAACTTTTTAGGCATTTTTTTACTACCGGATCGGGCGAATAGGTAGTAAAAAAATGCTTTAAAAAGTTAAAAAAAAGGTTCCGATGATCGCGCAGCACAGCTATGATCATCAGAGCCTTTTTTTACCTTTTAAAAGTATTTTTTAACTACCTATTCACCTGAGCTGGTAGTAAAAAGATGCTTTTAAAAGGTTAAAAAAAAGGTTCCGATGATTGTGCAGCACAGCTGTGATCGTCGGAGCCTTTTTTTAACTTTTTAAAAGCTTTTTTTTTACTACCAGCTCGGGCGGATAGGTAGTTGAAAAATGCTTTAAAAAAGTTTTTTAAAAGGTTCCCACGCACACCACAGCTGATCACCTCCTCCCGCGCTATTCTACTTACCTTCCCAAGCCTCCTTTTGGCACGCAATGCATGTGCGCACGCACAGCTCACATTTGGTGCACAGTGCGCATGCGTAGCTCGCATTTGGTGTATGGCGTGAGTGCGCGGCCAGCGAACCAGTAGTATACCGGTTCAGATTTCACCACTGACCCAAGATGGTATCTCACTTCACTACCAAGTTCTGCCTGCTAGACCATGATATGCCTCAACCCAATTCCCCCCAGATATATCACCCCAAAAGCAATGACCTGGTCTGGGAATGAATCAAAAGCAGTCCGGACACTTTCAGTAGTCCCAAACTTGGAGGCTTTGTACCGTCGGATGATGTCTTGCAAGGTGGCAGCTACCACAAAGTATTCCTGCTTCAGGCGCAACTCCTTGCCTTCAAAAAACTACCAGATGAAGAAAGAATGTCAGGTTGGTAAGAAAAATGCAAAGTGAGTCTGAGGAGGATCAAAGTCCATTAATGGCATTTATCACATATTTATCACGGCAAAGAAAAACCTGACTATGCTACATTTTCTTAAATTGCCATTGTCCTTCTTGGTCCCCAAAGCTTCTATAACATTATATAAGCAGATAAGAAAAGCAGTTTGGGTATAGTCAAAACCCTCAATTTTAGTTTTAGCTACAAGGACAAGGAGAGGCTTGAAGAAAAGATGGCATTATCTGTTTGATTTCAGTAATTTCCCTCTCCCTTGCAGTGAGCCAGCATGAGGTTGCCTCCTTCATCCGATGATGAGCTCATGGGCAGCTATAATATTACAGTCCTAGATCAGCACACAGCTGTAGACAAAAACTGGGAGAGGTGATTGGGGTAATTGTCCTTCTAATGTGTCCTGACCCATAGACCAGACAAAAGATGCCAACTCTGATATCTCATCAGTATCATTTCATTTCTCTAAGACTTTCAATTTTCAAAAGGAGGTCCAGGTAGTCCTTAAAGTTACAACAACCTCAGAAAAAATTATTTACAACCTGCCCTCGCCCTTAGGATGTTTGTGCAACCTGATAGTCACGTGACACAGATGCTCACATTTATGACTAGTTGTAGCATCCTACAGTCATTTGTAATCTTCCCAGCCAGTTTTCGACAGTCAATTGGGGAATTTGGATTCATTTAACTGTGTGATTCATTTAATGACTGCAGTAAAAATGATCATAAAATTGGGTCTGCTCACATGATGACTTGCTTAACAACCACATTGTTTATCAATTGAAATTCTCATCCCCATTGTCATCGTAAGTCGAGGACTACCTCTAATAACTTAAAAAGAGAGTTAGATAAATTATGGGGGAAAAGGGCGTCAATCAATGGCTCTTTGTTATTATAGGAATAATTGAAATATTTTGAATCTCTAAATGCCAGGGGTAGAAAGCAACTGAATAAGTGTACTATTGCCTTCCTGTCTTTCTTGGCATCTTCCTGGAGACCTTTGATTAGTTCTTGGGGGGATTGGAAGATTGGCATGGACAGCCCATTGATTGGATCCATCCATGCTGTTACAGTTGTAGTAATTTCATTTAATTAATCCTCTCAACCTGAAATACTGCATAGATTGGGAGTGTGCAGCAACCCCTGATACAGCATCTAGAAACATTGCTGTTTTAACCAGTCATGTGCGACTCTCGACAATTTTATAGGCAATTGCTCTCTGTTCTACTTGTCAAGCACTGATTCTTTCAGTTGTTGGATGTTCATCTTTCTATCACTGATGTTATCTAGCCAGCATGTTCTTTGCTTGCCCCTTCTTGTTGAGTTAGAACACTATAAAGTGTTCTGGTGGGATTTTTTTTACAGGGCAGTTCACCATTGCTTTCCCTAACCCTCCCCATTTATCCAAGCTTCAGACCGCCAGGAGGTTGATGAAGGGTAGAAACATTACTTTTGGTTTCATCTGATTAGATTATTTTAATTTAAATTCTTAGTGTTGGAAAAAAGGAAAGCCAGGTTAATAATCACAGAAATTAGTATATGTTCTAGGGGTTAGCAGCAGAGTCTGTGTGCAAAATAGGCTAATAAGGGGAAAAATTCACACGGTTAATATATGCCAGAGATTTCAGCTTTACTTTGCAAGGAATTGTATGCTTTTTAGTATAAATTTGTTTAGGCGCCTTATGAATGTAATTGGTAATTTTGCATAAGTCCCTCTTGGTTTCTACTTCCTCTTTATACAGTGAGATACACTGTGGTTCTGTTGTGGGTTTGTTAGGGGAAGTGTTGCAACACTTCCTCTAACAACTTCTACTTGAAAATTGTTGATCCATCAGTCTGGAGTCAGAGATCATCTATATGCTGATGAATACCCAATTATACAACTTGATCCTAGGGGCACCAACGATGCTGTCAAAGTCCTGACCCAATGCCTGGAGGTGGGGCAGGTCTGGATGGGGAGGGACAGACTTAGGCTTAATCCTAAAAAGACCAGATGCCTTCGTTTGTCCTCTGGACCCTCCATATTTCATTATCAATAGAGTAGCATTACTGCATGTGTGACTGATGCACAATCTGGGGGGTTCCCTTGGATCAAAACCCAGATGGCAGCTGTGGCCAGGAGGGTCTTTGTGTGGCTTTATCAAGCATATGAAGTGTGACCATTCCTGGACTGGGAGCGTCTTCAGACAGTCACTCATGCCTTGGCCACCTCTTGATTGGTTTACCATAAGGGCTGTCCTTGAAGACCACTCAGAAGCTACAGCTGATCCAAAATGCAGTGGGGTGGGCTCTGATGGGTGTGTCACATAACACCATTGTTTCACAAGTACATGATTTCCCAGTTGGCTTCTGGGGCAATTCAAGGTGCGGATTATCATCTATAAAATCCCACAAGTGTGCACTTTAGCTTAGTTACTTGATGGGGCACTTGTTTCCATGTTTCTGCTCATTGGGTTCTGCTCATAGGTAGAGCATGTATGCTTCATGTCCCACCTATCAATCAGTGTCATCTGGTGGGACCTAGGAAGCATTTCTTTACAGGGATGGCTCCAGGGGTGCTATTCAGCAGGTTCTGACAGGTTCTTGAGAACGGGTAGCGGAAATTTTGAGTAGTTCGAAGACCTTTCATAAACTGTTTAAGTCCTGGTTGATCTCCCAGGCCCTGTGTTAGAATGAGGACGGGCTCCCTTTTAGTTGGTTATGGGCTTGATGACTTAAGACAGGGGTGGGCAATTGTGGCTCTTTTACAACCTGTGGACTTCAACTCCCAGAATTCCTGAGATAGCCAATCTGTCTCAGGAATTCTGGGAGTTGAAGTCCACAGGTTGTAAAAGAGCCACAATTGCCCACCCCTGACTTAAGACAACCAACTCTGCAACTCATGCAAAAAAGGCAACTCGCTACCATGTTTGGTTCTGAATGATTAGCATGGTGCCCGCTTAAAAAGTAAACTGATCACAGCCCCCATTCCTTTCGTTCCCTTCCCACAAGCAGGCCACACTTCACAGTGCTTGGAACTTACGTTATCGTTTGGATAAAGGACGCGGGAGATGTTCTCCGCCAAGTTTCTGTCCAACACCGCTTGAATGTAATCACCAACATTAACTGCACAGAGAAGTTGAAATAAAACATGCATGACTGTTCAGTATCAGTGGGAGGGGGGAATGGAGAGTTGAAAAAACAACTTTTTTCCCTATTTATTTAGCACAGAATTATTTTAGGAATGTCCGGGACTTCTTCTTCCCAAAACAAGGCATTTGCTTTAACTTTTAAAAAGTAAATTTGCTAAGTGAACTACAAAGTTTCCTTTCAGCGCTTCAAAAGGAGTCCTTTATCCCAGAGCTCTCCTCAACCTGGTGTTCTTGAGTTATGTTGGGACTATGACTTCCAGAACTTTCAGCCATTAGTCATACAGATTGGAAATTTGGATGTCCAGGCTGTGTAGAGGCTGCTAGGAACTGTAGATCATGATGATTAAGGTTTCCTATCCCTGGAACCAGGGATGTTTTCTTCTCTCCTATGCATTCATGTATCTAGTTATTTCCTAATTATTTTCTTGGCAACATTGCTAAAGGCAGAAAACAGCCTGTACTCTTCTTAGGAAAGAAAAAACCCTGACAAGAGGGTTAGGAGGGAGAAAATAAACCTCTTTCCCCATTATTAGTTTGACATTATACTAGTTTGCAGAAGAGAAACTCAGAATTCTGTTTTTCACAGCTATCAGCAGGTCAGAAAAATGTTGTATCCTTCCCCAAATCCCTGACACTCTCCAATCTGTATTTGGGTTTGAGAAATGCTGATTACACTAGGAACTGTGGCCACACACTTCAATGACTAGGTAAAGGAAGATCTATTTCTTTATGATAGATTATTATGGGCTATAATCTTCAATTCTGTCAATGACAAGGTTCAATCTGTAATGAAGGCCACCATGGATGGGCCCATAATGAAAGCACAAAGATTAATGGAAAATCCCTTCAAAATACAAAATAATCATGCAAAGTATTTGTTTTTACACAAGTGCTGTAGACATGAGCTCTTCCATTCTTCCATCATTGTTTTCCAGTGGGGAAACTACCTTCAAACTTTGGCAGTGGGATCAAAGTTGGCCTTGGTGACTTGCAAAACTAGGTCTGCCCAAGCCTGAAGAGAACATTTTTCCTAATAATTCCTCCACACAAAGAATGAAGAAGAAAGAAGACAATACTTACAATCACGGAGATTAAAGTCGTTGGGCGCTCGAGCAGACCAGAGTCTCATTGTGTTAACTGTGTTGTTCATATAACCAGGAATAGGAGTATCATAGGGCAAAGCCAAAACAACCTAAAGACAGAGATTGTTCCAATTATAGTGGGTTAAAAATGGAATGTTATTCTAGAGAAACCCATTATAATGTTCAGTGGTTTCTGTCACATGCAAAAAATAGGAACACATGTCAGTTCAGAAGATTTATTGCTCAAATCGATACACAAGAATCTAACTGCAATTAGAATTGCATTTGTACAACAATGGAAAAATGATGAGATCCCATCTGAGGGGAATGTAATTAAGAAAATATTAGAATGTGCAGAAATGGATAGTTTAACACTTATTATTAAGGATAAAGAAGAAATTAAATATTTTTTGATATGGGACATATTCTATCAATGGCTAGATAATAGAAACAGTAGTTAGAAAGGAGGAGATATAAAAAGAGGGAACGGTAAAGTGGAGAGTTGTTAAAGAAGATTATGTTAAGTGTTAAGTATTAATGTTATTATATTATATTATTATATTATTAAAATGATGGAGATGAATTATCACAACAAAGATGTGTAATATGACTATCTAAACATAACTGTACCCAGAACACACACTGTTTGATGAAAATTGAATGTTATATAAATAAAACAAATAAAACGTGGGGGAAAAAAGAATCTAGTCAACTAATGGTCAACACTAAATTGGTATTAGATAAGAGTTAACAAAATTCAAATGGTGGGGGGAACTGGACTTAGAATGTTTGTGGACACATAATGATTCTAGGCTGAGTCCTCTCTTGACTTGCTCCCAAACTTTCCTTGCTCTTTTCCTACAGTTCCTTCCAGTTATGGTTGCCTTGTGACTTCTGTGGATGTGAGAATCACTATCTTATAGGATGCCCCTATGCTACAAAATATAATTGTAATTTCAATCTATATTTGCCACCACAGCAAAAAAAAAAAAAAAAAAAGACCAAAAACAGGCACAATTTATTCTAAGCCAGGGATCCCCACGTCCTTATTAGGAACTGGACCACACAGCTGGAAGTGAGCGGTGGGCAAGCAAGCAAAGCTTCATCTGTATTTGCAGCTGCTCCCCAGAGCTAGCATCACCGCCTCAACTCCACCTCAGCTCATTAGGCATCAGATTCTCATTGGAGTGCAAACCCTACTGTGTAAACTGTGCATGCGAGGGATCTAGGCTGCGTGCTCTTCCTCCCCACCCATCTGTCCATGGAAAAATTGTCTTCCACAAAAACAGTCCCCAGTGGCAAAAAGAATGGGGACCACTGTTCTAAGCTACTTAAGCATTTTAATGAAGTGGTATATGGATTTCAATCCGAAACAACAACAACAACAACAACAACAACAACTACTACTACTACTACTACTACTACTAATAATAATAATAATAATAATAATAATAATAAATAATAATAATAATAATAATAATAATAATAATAATAATAAATAATAATAATAATAATAACTTTATTGTCATTGTACATGTATACACAGTATACCCATACAACAAAATTCACTTAACCCAAAGACCAGGTCCAACACACATAACAATCCCCAAACACACTCCCACCCACCACAATTCCCCACCCCTAAACCACCCAAACATTCACACAGCAGACCAAGCAATACTGTCCAACAGCTCATTGATGGTGGCCCTTTAGTTCATTATTGAGTGCAATTATAGCTCTGGGATAAAAACTATTCAGAAAACGTGTACCTACCCCCACTTAGGTTTTGTGGTGCATTTAGATACTAATCTTATGTACACAAAGAATTTGGGCCACCAGGCATGATTCTCCTCTACAATCTGGCTGCACAGTAGAATTATCTGCTTAAGCTCGCACAATTAACCTTGATGGTTGCAGAGAACATTTGAAACTCTCCCACCCCACAACTATCATGACTGAAATATACTACCCTTCTCCAAGAGGCATTACCTGAGTATCAACCCATCTCACACCAGTCTGTGTATTCTCCACTCTTCCATAAAAATGAATAGGAAGCATGTACTCTGGACGAGCCTTCTCCCAGGGGTTTCCATGTCTTAGCCAATCATCAGCTTCTTCCACCTGCAATGAGAAAAAGCCAAGCATTAGTAAGATACTTCAAGCTATGCAGGACAAGAAGAAATGAGCCCATTGGTCTTTATTTGTCTTCTAGATCATTTGCAGGCATATCATTTCATTGACATGATCAGGGATGGAACTCGTATATGGAAAGCACAAATTTCCCATTTCAATCACTGGCTCTTCTTTTATGTACGCTGAAAGCATATACACCAAGACAAATTCCTTGTGTGTCCAGTCGCACTTGGCCAACAAAAAATTCTATTCTATTCTATTCTATTCTATTCTATTCTATTCTATTCTATTCTATTCTATTCTATTCTATTCTATTCTATTCTATTCTATCCTATCCTATCCTATCCTATCCTATCCTATCCTATTTTAAACTCTCTTCAACAGCTCATTATTCTCATTATCATAGCTCATTATCATAATTGGCACTCACGAGTTGAATATCGATGGACAAAGAAAACAGAATTCTCCTCTCCTTGCTCAAGAACAGATAATTTCATTTTCTCTTTGCACTGAGAATCTCACTACTGTACATTAATGATCCAACAGAACTTCCTGTCTGTCACCTGAAGAAAGTTCTCACTGAATCAAGAATTAGCCAATGCATGCTATGTTGTAATCCTTTCACCTAAACCCCAGTGATCTACTTGTCAATTTATTGCTTATTTATTTTTTGTTAATCATTATCTTAACCCAACTCCTTCGAAGTCTTTGAAAAAAAGACAGAGCACAAATCTAACCATTTACAGGTTTCCCTCTCTTATTTGCACAGTCTAGGAATTCAGACTTTAGTGTAAATGTTCACTCTTTTCTATATAGTTCTTTGAATAAATATATTCCTTAAATGAACAAAAGTAGAGCAGGAAATGAATTTGGCTGCAGTATGATGGCATTTGGCATTTTTAATCAAAATATATACAACAGTTTACAAATCTATCTTACAACAGAAAGCCAAGATAAATTCCACCATAAAAAGAATCTAAAGAAAACTCACACAACCAAATACAGCACCAAATAATAAAAATATGCTACCAAAGGCCACTTAGATAAAAATTTCAACTTCATTCCAACATGTTGACATTTTATAACTACTTCCAGTGACAAAATGAAGGTATTTATAACATCCCTGAAGGTACTTAGATACTAGACTGGATATTCTCTTAACTAGTACAATTTATTCCTTAGGCGTTTTATTAACCTGCAGTTCTTAATTAGATCTTTGATGGTCTAGATGGCTGCAACTGTATTCATTCCCTCTTGTTATATGAAGAGGTTCATATAGGCCTCTTGAATTCTTTGATTTCGGAAACTCCTGAACCTTAAGAGCAGGGGTGAAATCCAGCAGGTTCTAACAGGTTCTGGAGAACCGGTAGCGGAAATTTTGAGTAGTTCGGAGAACCAGCAAATACCACCTCTGGCTGGCCTCCGAGTGGGGTAGGAATGGAGATTTTGCAATATCCTTGCCCCAGGAGTGGGGAGGAAATGGGGATTTTGCAGTATCCTTCCCCTGGAATGGGATGGGAATGGAGATTTTGCAGTATCCTTCCCCTGCCATGCCCACCAAGCCACGCCCACCAAGCCCGGTAGTAAAAAAAATTGGATTTCACCACTGCTTAAGAGTATACCATATAGAACACTTCATGCAACAGAACAAACAGAATGATTTCGTTTACTTATGTGTAAAGCCCTTGCACATATTTTGCTGCTTTTAAACCAAAATCTTGCTTAAGATTTTACCATTGTTGAGATGGCCATTTTTATCCATCCTTCATTTAAAATTTGCATCTTACGTTTTTATGCTTAATATGGATTTTTATATTTTATATATGGTTTTACATTTGTTTTTATCTAATTGTTGTGTGCCACCTCGAGTCACTTTTGATGAGATTGGCATCTATATAAATTTGATTAATAAAAAATACATAAAATCATCTTGGAGACCCAGTCCTGAATTAGGCATGAAAGCTGAATGGTGACTTTGGGCCAGTCCCTCTCTCTCTCTCAGCCCAACACACCTAACAGGATTGTTGCTATATGAAAAATAGAAGGAGGAAGGAGTATTAGGTATTTGCTGCCTTGAGTTCTTTATAAAAATAATAAAGGTGGGATGAAGTAAATAAAAATAAAAAGATCCAGGAAAATATGTATTTCTGTAATCTCCATGTGTCATAAAATAGTCTTCTTGTCCAGCACTTGGGGTAATAATGTTGGATGGGAAGCACCTCCAATTGTTCGTAGTTACCTGCCATCCTTCTCTGATCTTCTGGTTGAAAATGCCATACTCGTAGCGTATTCCATAACCATAGGCTGCAAGCCCAAGGGTCGCCATTGAATCAAGGAAGCAAGCTATGGGAGGGAAACAAAATTGGGTTCAGCTCCTTGGGCAGCATCCACCACACCTCAACACAGTTTCATTCAACCAAGGATTTAGGGGAGAAAGTTGCTGAAGGGGAAGAAGTTAGAATCTTCCACCATACACACTTTTCACTGCTTTATTAAAAACTTTAAAACAGGGCCCAGAGAAGGCATACCCAGAGGGCATCATTTTGTCTAAGTGGCATGTTAGACGTTTAAAGAGCCTTGGTGGCGCAGCAGACTAAAGCACTGTTAAGTAACACCAGCTGCCTGCAATTACTGCAAGTTCAAATCTCACCAGGCTCAAGGTTGACTCAGCCTTCCATCCTTCCGAGGTAGGTAAAATGAGGACCCGGTTTGTGGGGGCAATAAGCTGACTTTGTATAAAAAAGAACACCACTTGGGGGGGTCCGAAAGCCCTACTAAGCAGGTATATACAAAAGTATGAAGGCTATTGCTTAACGCATTGTAAGCCGCCCTGAGTCTCCGGAAAAGGGCGGCATATAAATCGAACCAATAAATAAATAAATAAATAAATAAATAAATAAATAAATAAATAAATAAATAAATACTTGAAAAATGGGTAGGGCTAAAACAAGGAAAATGGGCAGGGCCAAGACAAAACTGAGTACAAGAGAAAGAGAGGAGAGGAGAGGAGAGGAGAGGAGAGGGAGGGAGAGAGAGAGAGAGAGATCATTATACATTTTAGTCCTTCTTTCCAAAAGCATTACAATCACTCAAACGGAATACTATTTCCAGATTTGGATGACAAGTAGAGAAGGAGGCCATCATAAATGCATCATGGGAGTCATGAAACCCACAAATGGCTTGTCTTGTCCATCCCTACTGCAATCTTAATTTGACTTTAAAGGAAGAGCAAAAGAAGGGACAGGCTGTCAATAGGCTATTGCTACACCCTAGCAATGATGTGTATGCAATGTATGTATGTTTATGCAATGACTGCTTACCTGCCAGCCTGCCAAGGCCTCCATTGCCCAGACCAGCATCTTCTTCAATCTCTTCCAGCTCTTCTATGTCCAGACCTAGCTAAAAAAAACCATACAGAGACAAATGGAATCCAATCAAAATTGTGCTTGGGTGTTAAAAAGTCAAAGAGGGATGGAAGAGCTGCTATAAATATAGTATATACCCATGATGGCGAACCTTTGGCACACATGCCAAAAGTGGCACACAGAGCCCTCTCTGCTGGCATGCGTGCCATCGCCCCAGGTCAGATCTCCATAGCGTTCCTTTCGTTAGCTTCTGTTCCCCTGTAAACGACGAAACAGAAGCTCGCAAAAGAAAAAGATCTTACCTCTTGCTGTGCTGCTGGTGTTGGGATGCCCTGCCTCCTGCCGGCCAGCTGATCTTTGGGTCTCTGCTGCACATGTGTGCATGACCATGCACATGTTTGTGTGTACGCATGCACCTTTCGGTTTGGGCATGCAGAGTTTAGGCCAGTGATGGCTAACCTTTTTGCCATCCCATGCCAAAAGCAGGGGGAGTGCGGGGTGGTCATGCACCTGCGTGCCCACACCGATAATTCTATGCCACCTGCCTCCCTGTGTATGCGCGTGCCCCCCCCATGCTCCCCCTGTTTTTGGCATGTGATGGCACGGTGGACCCGGTAGGCCTGTTTTTCACCCTCCCCAGGCTCCAGAGGCTTTCTAGGAGCCTGGGGAGGGCAAAAACAGCCTTCCCCACGCCCCCGGAGGTACTCCGGAGGCTGGAAACAGCCCATTTGTTGACTTCCAGTGGGCCCAGAAGGCCCGAAAATCAGCTGGCCAGCACACGCATGCATGCTGAAGCTGAGCTAGGGCAACGCTCGCGTGCCCACCAATATGGCTCTGTGTGCCACCTGTGGCATGTGTGCCATAGGTTCGCCATCACGGGTTTAGGCACTCGGTGTCTAAAAGGTTCACCATCACTGGTATATACTATACACTGTACTACTATAAATACAGTTTCAACATTTAATAAATAAAAATAAAAAATATGAGAAAGGCTTTTGCCATTAAGATTGTCCAAGCTTGCTCAATTTTTCATAGCATCAGTTTCAGAGATCTGCACAGTGGTTCTGAAGGAATTCACCACAGTTGGCTAGAATTAAAATGGGAAAATGCTTGAAAGAGAAAAGCGTATTAGTCAAATTTCTGCAAGGCAATCTAGCTTAACTGCATTGTATCTCTTGCATATTTCCAAAGTTTCTTTCTGAACATTGCTTCATATAGTGGTTCATTACAAATAACGGAATCACTCCAGAGTGCATTCAAACAAAAAAAGAAAAAAAGAAAGGAAATGTAGACTGGATTTAATCCTTCAACAGATCTACAAAAAAATGAGGACATCTGCAAAATCAAAAGAAGTGCTCAGAATTAAATAGGTTCATGATAAAAGAAGAACCAAAGTTTGGTGCCAATTTGCAACATATATTGCCCTATGTGAGCTAGGAAGAGTTTCCACTTAGAGAAAGTCAAGCTCATTTACCCTCAATTTAAAGAAAAGTAGTCATTTCCCCAGAAGGCCTTATTGCAGAAATACTCTATAAACCACAGTATCCTCTTTGGCTATTTGGTAACCAAGACAAGTTCACATAACTGACTTGCTATGAACATGGGATCATATCTTTTTTCTGGCTACCCTGAAGGCGTGAACAAAAAGCCTGCAAGCCTGCGTAGATTTCTTTTGCGTGGAATGTTAGATTCTACACAGCAAGCATTGTATCAACGCTGTTATTAAAAAACACTCTCACACACAAGATTACAGAAAACATTATACCTTTTAGAGCAGGGGTGGATCATATTCTGATAGCCAGGTTTACAGCTAACATTTTAGGGAGGCGGAGGAATCTTTTTTTGAAGAGTAATTTTTTAGAGAACTGAAAAGAGCCTCTGTTTTGTAGGCCCACTCTAGAATTGACACTGGATTTCTCATTTGTTTCCCAAGTGAAAATGACAGGAAATTTTGCTAGCAGTTTTCAGTAATCGTGGCTGGTGGTATCTGAGGGCCACAAAAAGAGGACCTAGAAGCTACATGCTAAGGAAAGAGGATGCCCAACCCTGCCTTAGAGTTGTTAAGAGAGGCTCCAAGGTACGTAAAGTGATACAAATGAAAAAATAAGTACCTCCCTCCCCAAAATCTGAGCAACATTTGCTCAGATTTAAACTTCAATGCCCACACATGATTGCATTTCCTGCGACGAGCAGAATCCAGCTTTGGTAGAAATTTTTGAAGAGGACACAGTTCCAACGTGGGAAAAATTAGATCTTAAGTGGGGAAGCTATGGAGAAGACATTATTGAATTTCAACCAGGGGCGGGTTTCAAATCCCATTGCTACCAGTTCACGCGCGTGCGCGCTTGTGTGCATGCGTAGCACTTCTGCGCAGAAGCGTCTGGGCGGAGCTTCCCACCACTGCTGCTACCGGTTCGCCAGAATAGGTAGTTTATCAGAGACAGCCTTCCTTGCACCTTCAGAAGGACATGACTGGCAGCTTTCTTTCTTTACCTGATAAATTGCCTCATCACAGGCATTCTGTAGTCCTAGGTTGATCATGGTATTTTGCAAAGTCCGGCCCATGTAAAATTCCAAGGAAAGGTAGTAGATTCTCTGGGAGAAAAAAAAAACAACAGTATATAATAATATCTCACTCAGCTTAGAACTCCTGATTCCATGACTGCAACCTATCCACATTTGGAGGAACCTAAAGAGAAGCTCCTCCAACAAGCCAAAAAACAAACAAACCCACCAATGGAACAACGCTTTGGAATGATCTCAATCAATGGAACCCCAAGTCAAAGGAATGCAGAGCATCTCCGGGCCCATATACCAGGGTGCAAAACCTTTTCAGAGGCCAAGTTTCTAAGTTTCACTCAGCTACTAAGTGGCATGCTAGTTAGAGGTCTTCACTAAAAACAATAGTCTATATGGCTGAGACAGTATTTGAATTGCAATTCAATGTAATCAATATGCAATCTAGTTAATATGATTACAGCCATGATTTCTTCCTTTGTTGTATTAACTATTACATGCAATAATTATCTAATAAGCTCTGGAGTCTCTGAGGGTTGCAGCTTTCAAGGTCTAGAAGCCCTGGAAAGGCTCAGGTAGCAGATTATGGGGAATAGTCTTCTCATCCAGAAGCTCTGCAGAACCATTGATATTGGAGCACAGTAGTTAGCACCGGGCTAGATGAGTAAGTAGTAAGATAGTACAGGGTGGGTTTCTATGCTCCTGGGTATATTTCAGAATTTTTATGATCCACTTGTGGACTTGCTTTTTTTGTTTCTAGGATGGGTACAAAGAACACTGAATTTGGTGGACCTTATCTAGAAAGGACACCGATTCACTTGAAGGACTATTGTGAAATCGGCTCAAACTCACCTTTGGCCCAGATGATTCTACACCACTTTCAAGGATTAGCCTAGCAAAACCAAATGCAATTCATTCATTGCCAGCCGTGTGCGGAGTACTCCGAAAGTATTTCCCCCGCTAGCTTTGCTTTTTCACTGTTTAGTAAGCAAACTTTTTTTTAAAAAAAATCATCTCAGAGCCAAACACCTAACGGTAATCTTGCTGTTATAGATTTGGCTGGCCTAACTGAAGTAAATAAAGGAGCCAGGCCAGGCCCTTTAACAAATACAAGGTTTGATTAAACTTAATTTACTCAAATGTGTGCTTTTTTTTTTTTTGATGTCCTGAACATTCAGTTCAAAGATGACAGATGAAAGACAAGGATGAGCATTCCCTTGCATCCCCCAATATAGATTTGGAAATAAAAGAAGGAAGTTGCCCTCCCCACAAAACCAAAGTGAACTTCCCTCCCCCCAAAAATCTTACCGTAGTTCCATACAGTATGTGACATAATCTCACCCCATTTCCTTTATTGCTTTAACCATTTTTAACTTCAGTCCTCCCAGAACCTATTGATTGACTCCACCAGTATATTGTTCGGCTCTATATTAGGAACTAGGAGAGTACAGAATCAATTCAAAATCTGCATTTTAATTCTGAGAGTAAGTTTGCTGAAGCTAATTTTAAATACACGTTTTCTCTGATTCACTGGGCTGTTATCTATGTATACCTGCTGTATTGTACTGTATGTACATTGGCTCTCCTTGAATTCCACTAATTATAGAAAGAGTGACATCGACACTTAAATCGGATGCAAAAGGAGCAACTTTCCTGCCTGCAACAGAAACACTTATTTTCTTTTCTGGCATATTTATAAATAAATTATGACAAAGGATACATTCCTGCCTTATTTTTTTTTCTTCAGGTATGCCAGTGTTTTTTGTGTGAAGTAATAACACATGTTATTTGTTTTGAATGATGAATTCCTTTGATCATTTAGGCAAGGAGGGGGGGGGGAATCTTAACAGTAACCGTGTTCTCTATTTCGCAGTTGAACAGACAAGGAATTTTTATGTACATGGGGATCTCATTTAACCAGATTGAGTTCATCTAATATAATTAAACAAGCAAGCAAATAGGCACTTGCACTAGCCAGATAGGTATTTCTAAGAAGAAATTACAAGACATGGCTTGTTCTTCTCCCCCCCCCCCCCAAAAAAAAAAAAAGCCATTCAAACATATACTGTCTCTGAATGTGAGTCTTTTTCTAGTTACACTGAAGAGACCGCAGGCTAATATCTTTTTTTAAAAAATCTTCTAATCTGGTGGACATCAGATATTTGAAACATAACTGATACATTGATTCTGTCTTGTATGAAAGAACTCTTTTTTTTTCTTTCCCAAAGCTTGGGAAGGATAATACTTACTTGCCTTCTCCAATTCTCATTTAAAAATCTCATTTTATTGGTTTGGGTCAAGGTTCTTTTTCATTCTAAATGTCAACAGGGAGAACTCATACTGTCATTCACGGAACATGTGCCGCCTCAGAGTCCCATAGAACATTTTCCATGCTGAATGAAGACTTACATAAAATGCTTGACCATTTAAGCTAACCAATGAATTTTTAGCTTCCCAATCTCTCCCACTTTATTTGTCTCACCTTGGGGTCCTTTTCATAGTAGTATTGCTGGGTGCGGATCCACCTGCCCACCAGGTGATCCCGTACAGTGTGGGCCAGGGCAAAGTAGTAGTCCCGAGGGGTGGCCACATTGCGGTCCTTAACAAGGGTAAAATGTAGATGTCGGTTAAAGCCCTTTTTCAGCTCAGCCACATTCTCCACTCCAACAATGCCACGAATGCTGATCTGTTTACGCTTCTCCTGGTCGGTGAGGGGCCGAGACATGGCTGCCAAGGCTGTGATCTGGAGAAACAGAGCAGAAAGATTTTAATTTGATCTGCTTTCAGCACCAACAGAGCACTGACCTCTGCGTCCTGCAGCCAGCTTCTCTCCTCCTCTCTTTGGGACTAGGTTCTGCTTGAAGGGAGGAGTTTAATGCCAACAGTGTCCAGTTTTAAGCAGGCCTCCAAAGCTGAATCACAACCTCTCTCCAAAGAGGTAGGTGTGTGTGTGTGTGTGTGTGTGTGTGTGAGAGAGAGAGAGAGAGAGAGAGAGAGAGAGACAGACAGAGACAGAGACAGAGACAGAGAGACAGACAGAGAGAGACAGACAGAGAGAGAGAGAGACAGAGAGATCCGCAGCCAGACTCAAATGCATTAAATTGGGTCCAACTCAGATTATCTAATTCTTCATATTATATTAGAAATGCAAATAAAACCACATTTAAAGAAATGCCTCCAAAGAAACTTGCCACATCTGAATGCTGGCCCTATTCAAAGAGTGCAAGAGAGGCAAAAAGAAGAATCCTGAATTCTGACTACGGAGAGATTGTACGACAGAAAGGGAACAGAGAAAAGATCTGATTTCTTTGTTTTCTGGCATTAAATCAAGAGACAGCTTACATAGGGAGAGCCAACACTTCAGCTAAAATGTTAAACTGGGTGTAATTTACTAGGAAGAGATCCGTTTTAGTCTGTGGTGGCCAATAATCAGGAGGAAAATTGAAAGCTGAAAAGGTGCCTTTTCAGTCTAATATATTTTGTTAAAAGGCATAAGGTTTTGTCAGCTGCATCCCATTTCATCAGAAGTATAGAGTGGCTAAACTGATGGGAAGTTATATACATTGAAGTGAGGGAGGGGAAGACAAAGTGGTTATACCAGTGTAAGTTAAACACAGGTGACAGATTACAAATACCACATTTTCCAAGCCATTGGGAAATGTTTGTTAACACTTTCTTAGTGATATGTGCAAGTTCAATAACAATAACGCAACACAGCTAGATCAATTCCCAGGAAGGTCCTATTAAACAGGTTAACACCCCAAATCAAGGGTTCTTAACTTTTTTGTGCCATGGACTCCTTTGAGATTCTGATGAAAGCTAAGGTTCCTTTCCCAGAAGTATATATTTAAATGCATAAAATATCAGGGCATTTTCTTCTCCTAAGACATTGCATTACAGATCTCAATATCTCTTTGGGGAAAAAGAAACTTTTAAGAGCAAAATCAAGCATGAGACTGCAGAACTCTCATACATCAATGTTTATGCTTTTGAAAAAAAAATATGTTAGTCTAAAAAATGCTACAAGTATCCCAACTTTGATTGAAACATACATTCATTTTGTTGTCTGGTATGGGGCAACACTATCGCAGTATAAACACCACAAGAGGCACAATTCAATTACTGAAAGGGCATCCCAGCCAAGAGACGTATGTTATTTAATTGTAGATTTTCCTTTTCCAATGTGATGCCCTCCAAATATGTTGTACTACAACACCAGTGGTGGGATTCAGCCAGTTCGCACCACTTCGGGAGAACCGGTTGTTAACTTTCTGAGCAGTTTGGCAAACTGGTTGTTGGAAGAAATCATTAGGGCAGAGAACCGGTTGTTAAATTACGTGAATCCCACCACTGGCCATATCCCTTAGTCACCAAGGGAAGTGACTCATCCTTTCTGCCAAATATTAAGCCTAAGTCTTTTCCAATCCTCATGCTCTAAGGCCAAGCAAATCCAGAATCTGTTTTGAATTTTTAAGATATTAATTTCTATATTAGATGAGATGATACGATGTACTTGTGGCTATGCCATGGATGCAAAAATATCCAGTGTTGGATGCAAGGCTTTTGCAGAAGGAAAAAAAATATCACTAAGTAGTAGGAGTTTTATGTTGCCAGGTATCATTCTACTGCCTTTATAATGGAATATCTTATACTGCAAATAAAACTTATTGTAATTAGAACCCATTTTGGATTAGTTGTCTAGATAAGTTCTTAGGAAGGTGTACAGCTCCATACTATGCATGTATCTACATAATTTACTCTCAAGTAAGAATACCACATTAGCATGACAATGTCTGCGTCGGAGATGCGTAAGATCTCCGACCTCCGTGTATTTCGCTGTGCCCTCAAGACCCTGTTGTTCCGCCAGGCCGGGCTATCAATGTAATGATTTTTAAATTGGGTGTTTTAAATTTTTGGGGTTTTAAATTTGAGCCGAAATTATTTAATAATTTTAATTATTTTTAACTGATGTCTGTATTTGTGCTTTTAATAGGCTGTACATCACCCTGAGTCCTTCAGGAGAAGGGCGGTAGAGAAATAAAATTATTTATTTATTTATTTAATATGCTAAATGCTATAACTCTATAGTAGATACACTTTTAGTCTCTGCAATGAGCTACAAAGTTTTTTCGTGTCTGATTTATGGATATTATTATAATAACTAAAGAACATAATTAGACCATAATTTCAACAGTTTATCTAGTCAGTTCTTTGAGATGCTAACAGAAATGCTTCAGTTTGCTTAATAAAGCAAACTACCAGTTATTTTATCCAGAGGAGTTTTGTAATATTTATCCAAATCAAAATCAGTTCTTGCTTATCCATCTATCCACTTTTGAGGGTAAGTTTTAAACTCTTGATTTATGCCATTTCTTCCTTATTCTTTGAAAGGTATAAGGGAACCCATTTGTTCAAACATTCGTATTAACATTTTAATTAAAACAAATACAATATGAAATAGCATTTCATTCCAAGCTTTGCCCAAACACAAACAACCCTGCACATGAGATCTTTCAAGATGATGCACTGTCTCTTATCAAAAATTTATAGTAAACAACTGATTATGAATACTTATTTGAAAGGAAAATGACCCTATAATAAACATTCTCTCTCTCTCTGTGTGTGTGTGTGTATTTATGTGTGTATATAATATACATATACATATACATATACATATACATATACATATACATATACATATACACACAAAACCTAGTTCTGGAGATTTTACCTTTCCAGCCACAAATGTGCTCATAAAACTCATTCATTTATCTGTTGGTATATATTCCAGAGGTGACCACTGAAAACAAACAAAACAAGAGCAAAAACTGGAGAGAATGAGAACAACAACAAAAATAATTAAATTAACTCAAAATAATTGTAATTGATTTAAATGCTACTATTTACAAATAAAGGCACCCATTAGTACTATTAGTGGATCTCCCATATGCAAATACAAAAACCATTTTCAAAAATTACTGTTGCAAACACATGCACACACAAGTACACACATATACAAGTGAAAGTAGGACTCTGCCTCAGATTTCTGAACTTGCTTTGTTGAAAGTTCCACTGAGTCCCATTGACTTTTAGTCCCTGTTAAGTTTACATAGACTTTGGCTGCTATGCAGGGAATGGATCCAGTTAGCTCAGCTTATTTCATTAGCGTGGAATCTGGGGAAGAAATCTTTTGGGTATTTTGCTGGTTTACTTCTGTTTGCAACAACACTGGGTGAAAGAGTTTATTGTAAGATAAGGGAACCTATGCTTTACAATTAGATAATAAGTGGCTCTTGCTTCCATGAAAGCAGGCTTAGAACTTCAATTCCTATTTAGTCACTATGGTATTCCTCATTATCAATCCTTACTCCTGACATGGGGAGAGATTGAGTGTCTGTACGGAAGAATTTTCTGTCTGTGGATGCTTTCCACCAACAGACTTTTTCTTCTCTTTCAGTAATTTATATCTCCCCCTCATTCTCCCTTTCAACAACACCTTTCTCCAGAACTGTATTCTCAGCAAAACTAAGAAGATCCGTCTCTATCCATCACCCAGCCCCATTTACAAGTAATTATGCAGAAAAATAACCTTGTCTACTTTTCAGGTATAAATACCGTATGTTTATATTTGATGACTGTTGGATTTTTGTCAGGAGGAAAGAATTGCTCAACTCTTTTTATGTCCCTTTCTACTGTTTTGGATGAATAAGCATACCAGGCTCCTTAATCCAAACCTTCAGCTTTCTTGTACATGACTTGACTATAAACTTGACTCATCTTTGTGCCTTTTGTGTAAATCTCTTCTGGTGTATTTATATTAGTACTGATCTTAATTGGGTCCCTACCTTCAGAACATTCCTTAACAGTTCAAAGGCTTGTTTTTTGGTCATGCTTTTTCTTCTTGAATGGATAAAACACAAAACAACCCTTCTCAAAAAGGTTGGAGATGGGGGTGGGAAGAAAGAGAATTTAATATAGCTGGAGGAATGCTATGATACAAGAAGTTTTTTCCCCATTATGATTCTTTATGGAATAGTAGAAGAATGATAGGAAAGGAAGAAGGGAAAGGACCAAGACCTGAGAAGAAAGTTTGAGGTGTTGTTGCAAACTGTGGGATGTTCTGGATGGAAGGGGATGTGAGGTGATGAGGTTGGTTGAAAAAGAGAAGAATTATCTTTGGATAAGAGAGGAGACAAGAAGGAAGAAAATGGAATTAATTGCAGTCCATTAAGGATATTCATCCATTGGGGACAACAGATCAATGTTGTTCTTTAGGCAGTCACGGGATAAATAGTCAAGGTCAGAGGTAGGCTTCACATAATTTAACAACCGGTTCACCTAGTGCACAACCGAAAATGTGAGCGCGCATGTGCACACTCGCTTCGCTCGGATGTGCACCTTCTGCACTTGCACGCAGCTTCAAACACACGGCGATTTCCTGCGTGCAGCCTCCAGCAAACCTTCTCGGGCAGCCGCAGTGAGTAGAGCGGGTAATGCGCAAAAATCAGCTGGGCTGAATGGGCAGAGCGAGCGAGATAGGATGGGATAGTGCCGGGGCGGGTGAGCCCAGCCGATGGTCAGAACTATGGTTTGCCCAAACCGGTCCGAACCAGCAACAGCCCACCTCTGGTCAAAGTGTCTTTCCCATTAAATGGAACTTATGCTCTGAATGGCATTCAGTCAGAGGCCAGCGACAGAATAGAAGCTAGGAGTAGGGGCTTTCCAGAGTAGAACCTGGAAGAC